ACTCCCTGGAAAAGACCCTGATGTTGGGAAAGTGTGAGGGCAAGAGGAGAAGGGGACGACAGAGGATGAGATGATTGGACAGTGTTATCGAAGCTACCAACATGAATTTGACCAAACCCCAGAGGCAGTGGAAGACAGGAGGGCCTGGCGTGCTCTGGTCCATGGGGTCACAAAGAGTCGGACACGACTTAACGACTAAACAACAACAAGAACAACTCATTCAAATTGTTAAAATACAAGAGTCATTGCAAAGTTGTTTTGTGTCTCAAGGCGTCTCCCCTCTTCTGCTCAGTGCACCTTCTCATCCAAAGAGGCATTCTAAACAGTACATCTTTAACCGAGCATTCATTTCCTATCACCTTTTTAGTCACAGCAAGGGACCCGTATATATATATATCAAAGGGACTTCCTGGCCAAAGGAAGTTCCAAACACTGTCTCTCTACTTCGTGCCTATATAGTGCTGCCCTCTACTGTCTGCTCAACTGTGTAAGAAGATATGTCTGAAGACACACAAATTTCAGTTTGTTAGTTCCTAAATATTTAATATTTAAATGCTTGCATAGTCTGACCTATGCAGGCCATGACCCTCCAAAACGGGTTATAATTGTTAATTGACCAGGAAAAAAATCTGTCTTGCCTGGTTTGAATTTCAGTTTGCTTACCCCATCTAATCACTCACTTCTGCCAGACATTAGTCCAGAATTCCTAAGCTGAACATAAGGGAGAGGTGGGATATAATCAGTTCTGAGTGTGGATCATTCACCAGGGTGACTAATGTTTTTTTCTGTCCCCAAACCAGGCCTGAACCAAGACTGGAATGAATTGAAATATTTTTATTCAGTCACATGATTACTCTGATACATGTGTACAGAATCACAGGCAGGCTTTCCTAACTAATAAGAACATGAAAAACCTTACCCTTCAAGTGAGAAAAATGATGTTTCTGTGGCCTTATATAAAAATGGACAAAAGGCGGGTTGCTCATGTTATTCATTAATTTACTAAGCACACACTCAACCTTGTAGGATATTTGCATTGTTTAGAGCAGTTTCTGTATTATGTGCTGTCAAACTGGAATTGGTTTATAACTATCCTAATATGACTTTCAGGTATTTTAGGAGTGGTTTTATCAGTTCCATACCCCCAGTGAGTTTCCATGGCCAAGCAGGGATTTCAATCCAGATCTCATGCGTCCTAGTCCACTAACCTATACACTACACCACACTGGCTACTCTTAGACCTGCTTGCAACAATTAAAAATCCCCGAACAAAATAAAGTGACCCCATAAAAACAGACCCAATCAACTGATAATTCACAAGCACAGATGTTCATCTCTAACACTATGCCATAGTGTGTAGGCACATATTTCCTAATTTATATGCAATATGATCTCTCAGCTAATCATAACTAAGAATATATTTGAGTTAGTAACATGGAGAGAGAGATGGGGTGGAGGGGAGAGAGATAATAATGTTCTGAGTTCAGGGGATTCAAGAAGGTGAAAAGTGAAACTGTGTGAAAACTGTGTCATTATTACATAGCCTGGCACTGGAGTTTTGTAAGCATTTATTGTATGTCTTTGATACAGAATTCTTAATTCTGTTGGCAGGAGCTGCCTGGAGTTCTGCTCCGATCAGTCTTCACCCACTGTGGCAGAGGGTCCCTCTCTCTTTCAGCCAGTAAAAACAATAGCGATGGACCAAAAGCCTCCTGCTCTCCATGGGAAAACTGTTCCTGGATACAACCCTCCATTAAGAGACGATGTGAGCTGCTTTGAAGACTATAGTAAAAATTTGAATATGGGGTATAAAGTCAGGAAATTAATAGAGGCAATCTCAGCAATGCTATTGTTGGAGCCTCAGAAAACAGGCTTCAGACTATTAATTGTTTCTAGGATTTCCTGAGAATGCTGAAGGTTAGGAGGTGGCCTCCGACTGGAAATCAGAGAATGAGCGAATTGTAGAACCGGAAAGGACACCAAGGGCCATCACTTCCAACTCCAGGACAAGGCAGGAAACCCACACCCGAAGTATTCCTGGCACAACCCCAATAAAGAAGAGTCCAGCGCATTCTGAGGTAGTTCATTCCACTGTCAAACAACTCTTCCAGTCAGGAAGTTCTTCCTAATGTTTGGTCACAATTTCCTCCCTTTGTCATTTGTACCTGCTGTTTGGAGGTCTGTAGGTAGGGGAACAGCAGCAAAGGCCCAGCAAAACTATCAAGTTATTAATGCTTGGCTGAAACTCAGCAGGGATGGTACCAGCCAGAATCCCCTCTTGGAGGAATCTGTAACCATCCAAGTGTCCCTGAATAATCTGTAAAATCGGAATGATTGGGAAACTTTGGGATTCCCCTGCAGATGTCTTGTCGTTGCTGAGCAACATCTCCGTTAGGCTCGAGGTAGGAGATACTGCCAAAAAAAGGAGAAAGAAAACATGGGGTACTTGGCGGTATTTTGAGCTCTGAAAAAGGATCTGAAACTTGCAAAAGCGCCATCTTGCACCGTATCCGAGAATCCTAGTCTCGCGTCCTGCCCCGTCAGGCAAAACGGCAACGTCCTTATTTTGGAACCGGGGCTCTCCGGCGCTCCCCACCCCACCCTCCCGGTCACCCGCTCTTCTAGCACGAGCGTTGGCTTCTCGGAATTGGAGGAAGCGCGGCGTCCGAATCTTTCCGAAGATCCCCGAGTGTGTACGGACGCGACGAAGGCCGGATACGGAAATGATCGAGTATATACGGAACTAGCCGAAGTTGCCTCATCCGCAGGCTGCCTAAGCGTAGGGAGGGCTGCCTTGAAGCAGAATTCGGGCGAGGAGCCATTATGGCGGAGATGATCGAGAAGCTCCGAACGGATGGGATCGAGAAGCGGATACTGCAGGAAGGCCAGGGCCCGTTACCTGATTACCAAGATGGGACTAAGGTAAAAAAAAAAAGAGAGAGAGATCACGCCTGGGTTTTTTTTCGGGGTTGTCATAACGGAACAGGCCCGAGGAGGCACGCATGCGCCAGTCGCGCCGCCGCTGGAGCACTGGCTAAACTAGAATGCGCATGCGCGAAGGGGATAGGCTGGGAGAGGGTGATCTGAACGTCTTGTCTGTACATTTTCTTTCATTTGCAGTTTTCCTAGTTTGGGGCTGGCGGGGTCTAAAAAAGCGGGGTGGCAGCCATACTTCCGGCCCTCTTCGGGCAGGTGCCCCGTTAAGCCCCGATCTGCTGGGGCAGATCCTGAGTGTCCAGTTTGGACAGACAGGCGGAGCTCCGTATAAGCTGTGCTGTTTACTTACTCGCCTAAAATATTGATTTCTTGCCTTCAGCTGGAGAGTCTCTCGGAGTAGTTTATGGGTGAATATAAATCGATTTACTCTTACCAGTGGGTGTCATAGTACGTTGCAGCACAAGAGAAACACGAAGTCTTACATTTATTTATAGAGGAACCAGATGTAGCACCTTAAAGGTGCCGCAAGACTTCTGACTTCTTTGTGAATAAATAAACGGCCTTGTCCTCTGGCTTAGCATTATTGTAATAGTCACAACCGGGAAACAAGGTGAGGTGCAGGAGAAAAACAAGGAGACTCGGGTACTGATTCTTTGTGGCCATAATGCAGCCCGTTGTTAGTGCTCTCAGGGCAGTTTGGTAGCGAAAGAGTTTAAAAAATGGAAGGAGCCAAGTATTGCCAGTGGCTCAGTTGAGCTGATGGAGAGGCTTTGCTTCATGGCTGTGCCTCTTTTTTAAACTGATAGTACTGTATTTAAATTATTCCTATCTGCAGAGTCATTTTGTCTATGGCATGTGACGGGAATAGCACTCCTGAGTGGCACAGCCACAAATGGTCTGTGTTTTCTTCCATCTGTTCTTAGTAAATTTGTACACAGCTTCCCGTTTCAGACACAGATCAGGTCTTTAGTGATGCAAAAGTCTTTTTCCCCCATGCTTTGAGAGATCATTCTAAGGGGTGCTCTCCCCAAACAGATAATCATACATGCAACTTTAGAAGACTTAAAAGTTCTGTAGGTCAGATGTGTTAAAAGAGGGTGTTCCACAGGTGAAAACACATGTAGAATACCTGTAGTCACTACAGATTTATCCACTGCTGTGGGTAGTGGAAGCACAACAGTTTTGTTGTCTGTTCTGCTACTCTCTGACATGATGCAAGAGTGATGGGAGAGATCCTGATTCCTTGAAGAATGGACTTGTCTATGTATGGTATGATCCTTGCAGTCAACTGACATACGGATCTGAAGTGATCCTGTGTGGTCAACACCAGCCTGATACTTAATACACATACCTAATTTGTAATACACATACATACACTGCTTTTAAAGTGATGCAGCACATTGCATACACATACACACAGATCCCCCCCCCCACTTTTGCCCTTCCACAGAATCAAGGAAGTGTTTAATTTGTCAATATTGTGAAGCGACTCTCTTTTTAAGTCACTTCATTATACTGTATTGGCAATTAAAAGAGGAAGACTTACCTTTGGTCTGTTTTCAGTAATCGCAAACACTGGAAATAGATAAAGACAGAGTGATCCTACCCACACCAAAAGAGTAGAAGGGCCAGAAAGGTGCAGGTAGGAACGTTCTGGTGACAATTTGGTTCACTCCAGCAATTACATGATGTGATTACTATTAAAGCAGTGAACCAACCTATCCCTGCAGTGGTCTCAAACATCTGATCACACCCCAAAATTATAATTGATAGCTAGACTGAATGCTTTGCATACAGATGTAGTCCCAAGTATTTCCACTTAAAAGAGTCAGGTAGCAGGTGGTGTGACGGCCTGAGATCTTCCAGTCAGAATAGAAAAATTGGACTAGAGAGACAAACAGTTGGATGATAGAAAGATTTAGTTCTGACCTAATTTTTCAGCTTCTTTAACTTAAGAAGTTACCTGATGCTAACTTAAGACCCAGTTCTGGACAGCTCTCAGTTTTTGCATCATTGCGAAAGATACTGGAGCACCATCCTACCTCGGCTTCCAATCATTTCAATTGCTTTCTCATTTAATGTTCAACTTTCCTAGCACAGTGGTCATTTGCTCCCTTTTTTGCCTGCTTTGCAGTTTTGAGAAGCCAAGGTGGCACGACAGACCGAGAAGCTGAAGAATTATTGTGATTTGCTGCTACTTGTTTATTTCTACCACAAATAACCATTTCTTCTGGCCCATTCATTTGTGAGACCTGCTGCTCAAGCTACCCAACCGCTTATATGAGCAGGCCAAGTGGGACGGTATTTTTTTAAAAAATACTTTTTATGTGATGGTTTTCAAAGTTAGTCTGTATAAGCATATCCAGAAATTAAAACAAACAGCAAAAAGTTGACAAAAACTTTTATTTCAATTGTAAGATTTCATATGTACATTGACATCATGTTCCAGCTGTACATGCTGATATGCCAGCATCATTGACGAGCCTATTGGAAGTTGGGTTAACTTCTCTGCTGGTGGAACAAATCGCTGATGCCAGATTCTAGGTGTTTGCCACCATCTTTCCATGGTTCTGTTGCTCACTTACCCTTGCTGTTGGAATGGCTCAGGATAAAGCTGTTACCTGGGATTTTTGCTTCCTGTTCCTTCAGGCTACTTTCCACTACCGTACCTTTCTGTACAATCCAGAGCAGCAAGTGTTGGATGACAGTCATACCCGGGGCAAGCCCATGGAGCTCATCATTGGCAAGAAATTCAAGCTGCCTGTCTGGGAGACCATCCTGCAAACAATGCGAGAGGGAGAAATAGCTGAGTTCTTGTGCGACACAAAGGTAACCCTCTGGCTGTGGCTAGCGGGAGGCAAGGGTCATGCAGTGAAGGAAACGGGGATGTGATTGGGAGATGGGGATCTCTGCTCAGTCCTTGGTTCAGCCGTAGGCAGAGAATCCTGGGTATCTATGGGATACTGAGCCTTGATTCCCCATGGGAAGCAGGAATGGTACTGGCCTGTTGTTAATTGTTCTCGCAAGACTCCCATGTGCACTAAATATGTTTCATAAATGAACAGTAATCATGAATACCATTTTATATGTATTTACGACCTTCCTCATAGTGGGTGCTGTTCAATTAGCACATAATCACAGGATTTGGTATATAAGACATAAATTCAGCAGCTCTAAATTCTCTCCCCCCTTCCCGCCTTTAACCTATTAGTTGCGCATACTGGTATAAGTCCATCACCAGTGTAAATCTCAGCTGTGAATTGCTGCAACTTAAAGATGTCAGTGTAGGACATTTGCTCTTGTGCATCAGTCATATGAGTCACCGTGTTATAGGAAATGCAGATATTGACTTCTTAACTTGGAGCAATTTGCAGCTGAAATCCATGCCGGCAAAGTTATGCTCCCATAATGGAGGAAGAGAGGGAGGTAGTGGTGGTGGTGGTTGATGATGATGATGTTTTTGGATGCACAGTTGTCTCTGCCACTTTTCCAAGGCTCACAGTAGCAGAATAACATTATGCCAAAGAGGCAAAGAAATGCAAAATTCTTTAACTTACACAGTGTAAAGTGACTTTAGCTTTTTTTGGTGGAAATATTGAGCTGCTGTGGTGATGGAGGAAAGCGATTCCCTTCCAAATTTTATTGCTCTGACTCTTAAGGACATGGTAGCTGTGCCTGGCACAGAATGGGGCACAAATAAAGGAACACTGGCTTAGCCCCTTTCCGAACATGCATGGAACTTTGTCTCCTCCAGTGGGGCAAGGTGAGCCCCCCTGCCCACCAAGGTTTTTGCTCTCCCAGCAAACAAGACTCTGTGCCATGTCTTTTCTCCGTGCAGCATGTGGTCCTGTACCCGATGGTGTCCAAGAGCCTGAGGAACATTGCAGCTGGGAAAGATCCACTGGAGGGGCAACGACACTGTTGTGGAATTGCTCAAATGCATGAGCATCATTCCCTCGGGTACTCAGATCTTGATGAGCTCCAAAAGAATCCCCAGCCCCTCATCTTTGCCATTGAGATGCTTAAGGTGAGGGGGAAGGAAAGGTGAGGTCCTCTGGAATAGGCAGAATCAGGAAAGGGGAAAGGTCTTCAGGGGTTTTGGTGCCTCGATTGGATGCCGGACCTAGGCACCACTTGGTGGAGCTGCAGTGCCCACAGCCCCCAGTCAGCATGGCCGGTGGCTGTGGGATTCTGGATACTGTTGCCCAAAAGAAGAATGTTGTTTAGGCTCTGGTTGTGTGACGGCTTCGAAAGGGAGGAGAAGGGAGGTGCCCTTCTAATGGCAACTGGGATTGCTGTAGCTTTTCTTCTTCTCTGCAATTCCAAGAATAAGAGAAGGTTCTGCATACTTTTTTAAGGGGCTGAGTTGCTGGGGGGGGGGAGGCGGAATCTGTGATGTGTGTTTGTGAGATGAAGAACCTGCATCAATCAGTGAGACCTTCCTTTTCTCCCACCCTTCTTGAACTTTGTCTGAGGCCAACTCTGCCTCCATGCTGGGGCCTAGGGTGGAAACAGTGAACGGTTGGGCTCTTTCTTGAAGAATTGATATGGACACATATATAACTTCTTTTTCTTTGGAAAATTTCCTGGTCTGAGCCAGCCCACTGTCTTTGTGTTTTGCTAGGTAGAAAACCCTGGTTCATACCGGCAGGACTCTTGGGCCATGTCAGACGAGGAGAAGATGAAGGCCGTGCCCCTGATCCACCAGGAAGGCAATGAGCTCTATAAGGAAGGCAAGGTGCAGGAGGCGGCGGCCAAGTACTATGACGCCATTGCCTGCCTCAAGAACTTGCAGATGAAGGTGACTGAGGGCAATTACTTCACTGCTGTTGTTGATTCCCCTTTTGACTTACATGCATGTAGGAGCCAAGCGAAGGGAAATAGAGGGTTGTCGGCTCCGGGCACGACGGTGTCCCTCCTTTGTGTTCACTGGGCTTCCTCTTCCAAGGACGTTCCCACGTTATGGCAGGAGCTGGGCAGCTTAAGTGGGTTGTGCTACTATGGGTCGCCTGTTTGGTACAGGCCCAGTTCCAGAGCTGTCCCTGCGAGAGCCCTCTCAACCACCTGTTGTTCAAAAAGCATTGCTTTGAATCATTGGGTCCCATGTTGTGCCCTTTTGGCTGTCATGGGCCTAAAATGAGCAGGGAACAAGTGGGGGCTGCCATAGGCCTTCCCTTGGAAACGAGAGGTCCCTCGTGGCTGGGGAAACCCTTCAGGCTGCAGGAATCTAACCCCACCTGCTGTGCTAGTTTAGAGACGGCCCCGTCCAGCCTGTTAATTCCCTTTGGACACCACGAGTGAAAGTGCTTTTGATGCCAAATAGACGACGGGACCACCGAGCCACGTGCAGAATCTGTTGGCTGCAGATTTCCTAACCCTTCCTGCGGCTGGCTGTGCTTCTCCTTCAGCAGCAGCCATTTCTGGAAAAGCCTTTTCTTTTCTGGGCTTGGCTCCAAATGTGATGTAATCCAATCAGACAGAAATGGGCAACGAAAGTACTGTAGTTCTGAGTGGGAAAAGGCAGGTGGGGAAAGAGTTGATTTTCTGCTGACTGTCCATGCTGGATTTTTATCTCTTTCTCCCTCTACACATTCTTGCGAGTGAACTAGAAGGACTTGAGTTTAGCCATGCTGCTTTCGCCAGTAGTTCTGTTCTTTGGTCACTTTTTTCTGGTGGGTTGGAAGCAGCTTGCAGTTTCTCAGCTGTGTCTCATTGTTCTTTTCCTGTCCTGTGTCACAGGAGCAACCCGGGTCCCCTGATTGGATCCAGTTGGACCAGCAGATCACACCCTTGTTGCTGAATTACTGCCAGTGTAAGCTGCTGAATAAGGAATATTATGAGGTGTTGGATCACTGCTCCTCCATCCTCAACAAATATGAAGGTAAGGGACCTTGGTCACCATGGCACTCCTCAACAGATCACATTTGTCCCTGGCTGTGTTGCCTCAGGCGTTGAGGGAGGGGTAGCTCAGAAACACAGATTTGCATAACGAATGGATACTGGGGAAACAGGTCATAAAAGGAATGGAGTTACAGAATTAGGTTGATGTAGTGTAGAGATAGGAATGAACCAATGTGTTCGGGTTTGTCGCAGTTCATAAAGGTGGCAGGACAGGTGCTGCTCCCCCTTCCCCACCTCCTCGGGCTCAGCCACTCACCAGGCCCAGTTTCTCCCCCCCCCCACTGATCTTCCAGTCCCGGCACCAGCTCAGGCTTCTCTGCCCTGCCCTCATGACTGATCTCCCACTCAGGCCAAAGGGCAGGGCAGAGAAGTCTGCAGTCTTGCCTGTGACTGGGAGATTAGCTGAGGAGGTGGAAAAAAAATAAGTAAACTGGGCCCCAATGAGTGGCTGCTTGAGCCAGAGGAGGCAGGGAGGGGAGCAGAAGCAGCTGTCCTGCTGCCTTGATGAACTGGGACAGACCCGAACACATTGGTTCATGCCTATCTCTAATCTACTGGTTTGATACACCCACCATTTGCTTTGAAGGGACTGCCACTTGGGACAGAGGAAACCTGCTGTGGGTTGAAGAATCCAAGTAGCTGATCGAGTGAGAAGCGCTGGGGTATGTCCAAGTAAAGCTTGGAAAAGTAGACATCATTGAGTTCGAGTGCCTAGATTATTCTTCCATGTTTTAGTCCAGGTTGAAGGTGGAGTAGATGGTGAGGTGGGCCTTTCCTAAGCGTGTGCTGTGTTCACCTGTCTGTCCCCACAGATAACGTCAAAGCGTACTTCAAGAGGGCCAAGGCTCATGCAGCAGTTTGGAATGCCGCTGAAGCCCAGGCTGACTTTGCCAAGGTGTTGCAGCTGGATCCCTCCTTGGGTCCAGTGGTTGCTCGGGAGCTGCGCAGCCTGGAGGTCCGCTTACGTGAAAAGGAGAAGGAGGACAAGATCCGCTTCAAAGGCATCTTCTCCCAATAGCGGCGGCAGCTGCTGCTGTTCCTGCCTCTTCTTTGGGACAGTCAAACTTTGCCGTGGGTGCTCCAGGGCAAGGCAGCCGAAATAAGCGTTGTGGCTTCTTGGCAGGGGGAGCAGATTTCTGCCCCCCACACAGATCTTTGGGGATGTAGTCGGCATTTCTTGTCAACCAAATTCGTGTCATCTCTGTGCAAACGACATTGTTTGATGCTGCCAAAGTAGGTGAGGTAATGCAAAGAAGCCTTTCTTGTTTCCCAGGCCAAAGGCTGGATGCCAAGTGTGTCGGGTGGCATTTGCCCAAGTCTTTCTGTTACACCCCCCCATCCCTCTTCCTTATCGCATTTGCTGCCCGTGGTGCCTTTTCCCCACATTGCCCACAGAAGGGGTGAAGCTCTGCTTCCTGAGCTGAGGCCAGGTTGGAGATACTGACGGCCAGCCTTGAGCGTTGCGTTGTGTGGCCAGACGGCTCTTCCATTCTGCACTTTCCTCTCTGTTGGAGCTCCTTTTCTCCACAGCAATATTTTCCGTGTCTCAGTTCTAAGATACCAGGAGGAGGTTAAAGTGAGGGTTGGGGGGAGAGGGGATGTGTGATGGATTGTGAGGAAAGTGGCAGGGAGGCAGTGATCAGGTGCCCTTACTTTTGTACCTCTCTGCTCCTCCTCGGTGCAGTACTGCATGACTGGGTGTCCATATGCACAGATACACAAGGTCAGTGGGTATGGGGATCACCAGGGATGTGTTACTCTTCCCTAAGTGTAGGTGGCATCCTGCTGTGGAATCCCCATCTGTTCCCAGTGCTTCTGAAATTAAGTATCAGTACTGTCTGTATTCAGGGGAAGTCAAACTGTCTGCTGACTAGAAGTCCGCCTGTTTTATTGAAGATGAGCCAATGGGTGGATCTCACATGACTGTAATGTCTGTGTTGGCAACCCTTGGCTGACCTGGTTCAACTGGGGGGGGCGGTGTTTCTGGCCATGTGGTGTTCTAGGAGCTGAAACTGGGTTGCAGGTGACGTGCTGTCCAGGGGGCTCTCCGTAATGGCAGAGTCACTTCCAGCCTTCCTTCTTTCTTGCTCGTGGTCTTTTGTTTTGTTACTGCTGGCAATGAAAAGAGAAGGCTGGAAGAAAGAGCTGTGTTTCAGCTTCTCCTACCCGTGTTTGCTGAAGAGAAATATCTTGAGTTTGCCTCCTGGCATGACTTTGGCCTGTTCTTTGCAGGAGAAGACAGCAGTCCTTTTTTTGTTTGTTTGTTTGTTTTTTTGCTTTTGCTTTTGGATGAGGAGTGAGACAGAAGTCTTCAGCAACAAATGTGCCAGCCTATACAGGAACAGCAGTTAATTGGCCCCCTACCTTACATGTATTTATTTGAGCAACTTACTCTACAGCATTTTAGTATCTTTCTCTGAGGTTGGCTTTGTGACTTCTTGAGAGGTTCTGGCCTCTTTGTGAAACCTCAGCTGGGAAGATCTTGCCCTATAAAGGTCAGCTTCTTTGCCATTTGCAGCAGTCAACACCGAGGAGATGTCTGAGCAAAGCTTCATGGGAAATGCTCTTTCAAAAACTTTCAGACCCTTTTCTGAGAGGGCGTTCTCCCTACCCTGTAGCAAAAGACGGTGGATGGACACACGGACACCAGCAGCCGTTTCACTTCCTTTCATCCCCTTTGGAATGAAAGGAAGCCGGATTTGGCAAGAGGCTTAAGACACAAGGAACCTTAAGAGAGAAAGGTCCTAATCTGCTAAGGGCTATCATCATGCGGCAACAGGCTTCTCTGGGGATGACATCCTGGGATGTTGCTTTGTGCAGAAAAACATGGGGCTTGTATAATGGGAAAGGTCCACCTCTGCATGACAATCATTTGCCGTATTGCAGGGTTGACTGTGAGAATGTGAATTATTTGTGGTAGTGAGGAGGAGAGTTCCAGGCATGAGTTGTTCCTTGCCTAAGAGATCAGTGCTGTCAATGATTACAAATTGGCATCTGATCAGGTTGCTGTTGGTGGGTGTCCTTTGAGCCTGTAGCCTAAATAGCCTCCTAGGCCTGGTCTCAGTGCTCCATTTATTACTTCTTGTTCTAAATTCTGCATTGCTGAGTGAAGCCCACAGTGCTTGCAAGCCAGGCAGAGGGGAAGACCTGCCTTGCTAAAGGTAGGTACTATCAGGTGAAATTGTTGAGAGTGCACAAGATCAGCCAAGTGGCATGTCTGAATGATGGCCAGTGTATAGAAGGGAGCTCAAGCATTCTCTTGCTTAGATGGGCCAAAAGTTCCATCTTTGTTTTTGGGACTGCAAAGAATGGGGGAAGCCAGCGTCTTCCCACTTCCTTCCTGCTAAAAATGCTCTTCTCAATGTCCCAAGGCAGAGCGTGAGATCAGTGAATGCTCAGCTTTTGATGTTCAAGCCGTGTAACCTAGACGTGCTTGAATAAGACAGAGACATTCTCCAACTTTGTTGTGTACCATGCAGTATCCTTTTCAGATGTGAACCTGGAAGCTGCTAGTTCACAGAGTTTGTCGCGGAAGTGGTACAGTAGATATGAGCTGTTCTATAACCCATAGTCTAGATTTAAACTATGTTAGTTGAACTTATGGTTCCATTGAAATCAATAGGGTTTGTGACTAACCTTTTCACATGTATTCCAGTATGTTCAATTAACAGAGTCTGAAACCACTCATGCCTAGGAGCCTTAGATCCAGTTTCCTCTGTGTGTCCTGTAACTTTCTTGCAGCAGTGTGAATCCATAGTTAAAGCAGGCTAACACATCTTCACTCTCGCCTGCCATTTCTTGTGCCTTGGCCTTTGTTATAGAAAACCATCAGGGTGCTTCAATAGCTTCTAGACCAGAGTGTCTTGGCTGTGATACCGTAAGTCTGTGTAGGTTCATGAATGTAGGAATCAGAGTTAAATCCTAATCCAGATATAGTTAGCCATGGGTTAGAAAACTCTGTGTAGGTTTGTATGTCCCATGCCTTCAGACAAATAGATGATGCCATTAATCTTCACATTTCAAATTTTACAGACAAACTGGCTTTCCCATTTACATCTGCAGAATCTACCATGTGCCCCACTGTACCTTTTTTTAAATTTAGTCTTGTTTTAAAGTTCTTCTGGACAGGTCACCCCCTTCACTAGTGCACAGTAAGTACATCAACCCAAATTGTACCCTCCTCCTGGTTTACAGACTTAGGGTCCAATGAGCAATTTGCCTAGCTGGATCTTCTATAGATGACAGGGATCTTGCATGGGAAAAAACATATAGATTTCTCAGAAGATCGCTTGCCTACTTGGTCTACAGCTCAAGCTGTTTTCGAAATGTGCCATTTTTGATAAGCACATACCCTTGCAAATAAGCCAAAAATACCAAATCAGACAAATCTGGGGGCTGCATTATAAAAAAGACACCAGGTGATGCCTCTGATGTCTTTTGAATTTGCTGTCTGATTTGCTTGGCTGGGCCTGTGCTTTCAGAGAGAGACCTGGAAGGAGGAGATGTGTGCAAGAAAAGTGACTGTATAGCAGAGAACCTGGTAAGCACAGTCCATTCTTGGTTTTGAGCAGCTCCCGTTCACTTTGATGGTTTATGCAAAAGAGAACTGGCCAGTGTATTGTGTCCATTGTAAATAATCATGTGTACTGTACAGAGCTCTAAGTTTTATCTCAAAAGATGATAGGAACTAACATCAACACTATGCGTCATGGGCTGCAGACAAAGCATTACAAGAAATTGTTTTTTATGTAGTTAGAAGATTCTATGTCATCTTCTGTAGCACTACAAAGGTCAACCTGCTATTTCCTGCACCAGGACCATCCATATTTTGGGAAATGGTGCATTTTGTAGGTCAGCTTTGGGTCCTTTGCAGCACCTTTAAACTTTCCATATTGCAGAATAAAAGCTTGGCTGATTAATAGTGTCATTGGGTAACAAAGAGAAAAATGAATGCTTGTTTGTGTTTCTGTATTGCAGGTTTAAGTGTATGGTATTTTTGTTGTATTTTGTAAATAGTAAGAATAAAAAAAATTCAACAGCAGCCTGTGTACAGTTTTGAAACTATAACAATGTTCTTAAAGTTCTGGAAAGAAGCCAAAAGGTTAAATGCAGGCAGTGAGGATGCTTATCTTGAGGCCTCTGGCACTGTTCAGTTGCTATTGATAAGGAAATGAATACCTTCTAAACATGAAAACAAGCCATCAGGCATAAGTTTAAAAATGGGGCCTTTCTCATGTTTTACTTGAAAGTGAGGATGGCAGTAGTCAGGTCTAGCCTGAACATTTAAAATGAGATTGTGGTACTGTGTTCAACTGACTGTTTCTGTGGGCCTCTCCTCTCTAGGATCCAGTAGAAATGTTACAGAGATGTTTAAGAAGGAAGCAAACGATTTCAGATTAGGAGAAGAGATGGAAAAGGCATACTGGCAGAGGGGAGCCATCTTCATGGCATCTGAACCAGATCTTCCTTGCAAACCCAACTTCAATGAAAAGGAGGTGAATGATGAGAGGGCACAGTTACTGATGAAATAAATTGTTTTTAACATTATTAGAAATGGTGGTAGCGTCCTGTTAGAACCTCACTATAATGCAAATGAAGCCTGTGAGGCAAGAATGGAAGGAGATCATTTCTGCAATCCAATAATTTATTAAACCTCCATCTTGTAAAGCCAGTTACAAATTAAACAAAGAAGAGCAGAGGGAAATCTGCACCAGAATTAATGGAAGTTACATTCCCAATTGGGTATAAGCTGCCTGCAGCAAACCCATGAGCCAGGGGACGTAGCAGTAGCACAGGACCAAGGATTGGGCAGGGAGGGGACGATGCATCAAGGAGGTTACTCTCAGTGTACTAGACCAAGCAGGCAAAGTCAAGCCTCTGTTCTAACAGTCTTCTAAGTCTCATTCCCTCTTCTGGCAAAAAAAAAAAAAAAAAAAAAAAGAAAGGGGGGGGGAAATCTGTAATGTAACCAAATCTGGCACCATAAGGCAGCATTTCTCTTCTCAAAACTACAAGACTGTGAGCGGGGATATCTAGTTTAGCCTTGGGGGAAGGGTGGGTGATACAACTATACATGTACCAGATACGGTACTTGGGTGTGGATCTGCATTTACTAATCCCAGTGTGGCACTGGGTTTGTGTTTCAGCTTTGGGAAAATGAAAATGCTTATGCTCACATCACCAAACAACTTCAGACAGATGTGATCTTGTACTTGCATTCACAAGGAAAAAAGGAATCGGGGAGGCGGTTGGGGGGGAGGGGAGGGAACATCCCTGATTGAGAATCTTCTCTAGAAGAAAGGTTCTACCACAGCTGGTCTGACTGTGGCATTGCTGACAGGTCAAGGAATGCCAGATGGATCATCACTCGCTGAGAAAGGAAGCCTGACACCCTCCCCAGGTTCATCTAGAACAGGGAAGAGCTGGTGCTTTGTAAATGTGACCAGCCACAGCCACATGATTCCGCTGTCAAATTGCAGGATTACTGGGCATACTAACATTTTATTTTTTTAAAGTTAAGTTCCATATTCTGGGGAAGAGAGCTCAGTATTTTACTCTTTGCTCACTATCCTCTGCGTTCTCTAGGAGAAGCAGAAAAAATTAGGCCCATATCTCAGTTCTGCTTATTTGGCATAAACAGCATACAGGTTTCAGAAATTATCTTTTCTTAGGGAAGGGAGACTTGAATTTTTTTACTTCAAAATTCGTATTTTTTTTAAAAAAAAATCCCTCCAGCTGCACTCCAAATGTGTGGGGCTACAAATCTGACTGTCACCAACCAGCAGGCCCAGTGGGGCAGAGGGTAGCTGTACTTCCAAAACAGGCACCTGGGTAGAGAAGGTTGGTATAGGGTTTTTAACAGAAGAAACCCATTTAATCAAGCCCCCATTTTTACTACCAAATGCCTTGCAGTTAATCACAATTGGGCAGCAGCATTTCAGAACATCAGCTTATAAGAGGAGACCAAAGAAAACCCCACATAGTCCAAACCCCTGCAAAGAACCAAGGAAGGGAGGGGCCAGCAGCATGCAAGTCACTGGTGACAAGATACGGCAGCCCCTTTGCCACAAGGGTACGCACCAGTCTGACCAGAAATTCCAGCCCCTGAAACAATCAGATCAATGGCATTTTTGCATCACTGAGTGGCACTTTCCCACCCCACCCATGCACCACAGCAAAGCACTTTGCTGCCAAGGAATTGGACGATTGGCACCGAGAAAGCCCTTCTTGCTGTGCGCACGGTCCTGTGATGGCAGCTGGTGGTGCTATCCTTAAACCTCCAGCTCGTGGAGCCACAAGCCTCTGAGAAGCTCCCAGACAGAAAACCCAAAGTGTCCTCTCAGTGTTCAAAGCTCAGAAAATCTGGTGCGATTTGGCAGCTTCAGTCGTGACCTTCAACCCGTGGAGGTGGTAATACTGAAAACAGGAGAAGTTCCCAATATCAGTCTATTCAGTAGCAGCAGCAGCAGCTGATCCCTGAGGGAACATCACTGAGGAAGGGGGCAATTCAGTCTGCCAGTTTGGCTACACAATTAATACATAAATCTTGCCTGGCTCATCCCAGCATCACCTTAGATTCTCCTCCTCGCTTCCCTGCTGCATTTATTGCACAAAAGATCCACGTGTGTTGGTGGTGCAGGAAATGTGGGTTCAATTTCATCCCTGCGAGAGGCACAAGAGTTGAGGTCAAAGGAAGCCCAGGTTCTAGTTGCCTCAGGTTGCCGGTGAAGATCCCCTTGCTTGTAGTATTGGTTACGGAGCAAGCCTAACAGCGGTAGGTGCTCAGCACCAAGTTTTTCTTCTTCTTTCAGGCAATGGTTTGGGAGGAGAACTTTTTCTTCTTACAAAAGGGATTTTTGCTGCAAATCCGACTGAGACACCCCACTGGTCTTTCCCAAGGGCTCAGCTCAACCTCACTCGTCCCATCACCTTGTCCAGATACTTGCACGGCTGTCCAGGCTAGTGGCTGATTTGACGCTGCAGCATTTCTTCACAATCATGTTAATGTAGGCTTTCATAATTTTAATGATCTCTCCAACCTTAAAAAAAAACAAACAAACAAGAGGGAACAGGCAGAGTCACTCAGTTGGTAATCACATGACAACTGTGCGACAGCAATGTCTGATGGTTTCCAAAGGCAAATGGGATGTATCTTTTGGAAGAAAGTGTAATGAGTAAGTCATATGAGTGGGAGACTTTAATTCAAACCACAATGTTTCTTCAATTAATCCGGGGAATCATATAAAAGCTTTCTGGTCAATTAAAAAGATGCCTAAAACTAATCAAACATCAGGTTTCATTTTAAAAGAAGTTATAGTAGAAAGCTTACAAAAATGTCTATAATACCCTCCTTTGTTTTATGTGTTTTTTGTTCTGACAGTTTTGTTGCCAAATTATTCTTCCACTTTCTCATTTTTATGATTGTATGTTTGTAAATAAACAAACTCTAAGATGGCAGCCAGTATCCCTCTACCCTTCAAGAGTAGACTCCCTATCACATGAGCTCCTTGTGGCAATGCAGGTAAGCGCCCATTCTCAGAAAGCAAGTCAAGCATGCTTTCGTTTCTTTAGTAATAAAGCAAAGCATGCTTCTTCTATACCACCCCATAGTGCTTAAAGCACTCTCAGGGTAGTTTAAAGTTTAACTTTGCAGCCTGTACAGTCCATCCCCCACCCCACCCCCCAGCAAGCTGGGTACTCATTTTACCAACCTTGGAAGGATGGAAAGCTGAGTCAACTTTGATACCTGAATCTGCTAGGATTGAACCAAGTCATGAGTGGAGTTTTCACTGCACTATAGCAATTGAACCACTGTGCCACAAGGCTCCTATAGTAACATTTTATTCATATGTAAATATATGTAAATGAAGTTAATTTAATCGCTTAATCTACTTGAACCAGGGATGGACAGCTTCAGTGGCAACAGATGTCCTCTTGTTGCCTCTGAGTGAACCCTTATACACAGTGTGGAAAGGGGGCTCCGGATGTTCTCTCCTAATCTAAGGTCCTTCGCTCAGCGGGGCTAAATAATAAGAGATTCAGGACAGAGACAAGGAGATTCCTCTCTGCAAGGTGCATAGCTGGACCGTGGAATTTGATTTCTCAAAATGTAGTTAGAGGCCATTAACTCAGATGGCATTAAAGAGAATCAGACCAATTTTCATTCTGTGGGAAAGAGACATCTCACAGCAGGTTGAGTGATTCGCTTTTGCTGCACAGCTAAGGCTATCAGTGGACACCCATGATGGCTACCTGATAATCTCCACTATCTGAAGCGACATGTCTCTGGATCATCAAGTAAGCATGGACACGAACCGCCTGCTTGTTCCTACTAAACAGAAGTAAGATGGCTGCTTGTGTTGTCGTGTCCTGCCTGTAGACTTCTGGCTGGCCATTGGGGGAGGGGGGGGAATGAAACTTGGTTCCACTCCAAGACTTAAAAGGCAAGACTTAAAATGCCAGGCTCTTTGCAGTAGGGAGTCACTGCCAAAGTCCACTGGGTTACCTGGCGTCTCACAAAACTTACCTGAGGGGTTTCAAAGTACATTTCTCTCTCGTCCACTGTCAGCTTGAAGGTGTTGGGCTGGGGAGCCCCAAAGAAGATAATATGCTCATACTGGAAAGTTTCAAGAGGTTTGGGATCCCCCCGTTTGTACACAGACACGTTCTCTGTGCTGACACTGAGCCAAAGGTCATTTGGAAAACCTCCTTCCTTACACTGCAGGGGGGGAATAACATGGGTTAACAAAAGGGAAGGCACAACAGGGAGAATCACATATACTGTAGTAAGACCCCCATATCCGCATAGGAAGAGTTCCAAGCCCCCCCCCGCAGATGCTGAAAAATGTGAAATGCTATTTTAAGTCAACACTATACATAGCATTGTGTCTGGCTCCCTCTAGTGGCCAGTGCTGGTAACTTCAGATTTAGAAATATATATTTCTAGAATTTTCCTTTTAGTATTTTTAATATTTTCAGATAATGAATAAATTAATCAGCAGATACTGATCCCACAGATAAGGGGGGTTTCCTACTGTATAGTGAGCCAAACACTGAAAGCAGGTGGTTAAGTATAAATAGCTATTCTCTCTACCACATAGTAACCATGTTCATCTCTTTCTGTATGTTCAAACTCCTTGGTAAGTACCAGATCTCCTGTAAAAATAGCTTCCAAAGTGTTACTCTGTTCAAACCCAAAATCTTTGTTAAGTTTTTGTGCTATCCTACCAAAACCTTCCCTTAAAAAGTCACCATATTTTTGTTCTTCAAAGAATACAAGAGAGATGGAAGGAGCGAGCATGGCATTCCCTTCCCATCCGACTGTCATTTAGCCCAGCTCCTGTCAACATTCAGGAGGAGAGCTCAAACTACTGAGGCTGGTGTGCCTATGAGGTACTGCATTCGATGGGGTCAAGTGGGGGGGGGGAGAGCTCAAGCCCCAGGACAGAAACAGAGCATCTCTCCTAAAATGTTCTAACATCGCATGCAGAGAGGACACATAGGATGCTTGTCCAATTCTCAGAGAGGCTAGTCACAGAGTCCTGGGCTAAGAGATCTGGATGTTGTGGAATCTATCGGCCATTCCCACAGCCACACAAGAAGATTCTTGGCAGAACAGATGGGATCCTGTACAGATGTACAGACACTTGACTATCGTTGGACAGACCGACACAAAGAGAAAGTCCCTCACCTCCACATCAAAGAGAGTGGAGCCGTAGCCTGACCACTCCTTCATGATGGCCATGTAGGCAACCATGGCCTGCTGCTGCAGCAGGCCTTGCAGTTTGCTCCACTTCTCCGCTATGCTGGCCCGAGCAGCTGAGAGTTCCTCTTTCACCCACATCTCCATCATCTGTTCCTCCTCCACCTTTTGCTTCTTGACGGTGCCTGCTTTGAAGCTGCGCTTGAGGGTGCCCTCCAGGAAGCTGGTCCGCCTTCTCTCCAGAACATGGCTGCTGGGCCCGCTGCTCTTCATGGACTGCAGGATTCTGGACTTCAGTCTGGTCACTGGGTAGACGCTGTCAAGGGACCAGGAGATTTTGGAATAGTCCCCGTACAGGTACTGTAGCCTCAGTGCTGCTAAGTGCTGCAGGGTCTCCTCTGGGCCTGGGAAGTGGCCATCAATGAGACTTTCATGTGCCTGTGTGGATGCCAGGAGTTACCATTATTTATGAACTGACAACAATCTTCTTGTTCCCATATCTATAATCATGCGACTGAAGGCAATCGCCATATAGTAATAAGACATGCTATTTCATATATACTGTATGGCAGGTTACATGCAAAACACAAATTGACAGCCAGATGTGACTGGAGGACTAACAAATGCACTGCAGCATAGGTATGTCCCCTCTCTTCCACAAAATTGCCCTTAGGCTATCTTTTGCTGCAGCTCATACAGCTTACCGAAAGTCAAAAAAGTTCAGACTAGATAATATGAAGTCTGCATTGTCTCCAGAAGCATACTGAGGCTATCATACTTTGGACATTTTATGAGAAAAGACAATAATGTTAGGAAAAGCTGAATGCAGTAGGGAAAGAGGATGGTCAACATTAGATGTATTGACTCAATAAAGGAAGCAGAGTTCAAAAGACCTGAGCAGGGCTACTGACAACAGGACTTTTTGGAGGTCATGGTCATCAATACATGACAACCACAGCAGATGTCTAGACGCCAGAACTGCATTATTGCATGTAGATTCTCCTCTTATTCCTTGTGGGAATACTTGGTTTCTTCACAGCAACCAGCCACTGCAGCCAAATTCTTCTCTTCCTACTCTGACCCAGTCACTTAAGTACCTGCAATGCATCTCTTATAGAGGGTTTACCTGTTCAAACATGAAGGCAAATTCCACTCCCTCTTTGGGAACATTTTCAACGTCCAAGAAGCAATACAGCTTAAAATATAACTGCCAGTGCCCATCCTCCTCCTCTTCCACAGACCCGGCAAGTCTAAAAGATGGGAAGCAATCTGGTGAGAACACCTTGGTGACAGGTCAAGGAGAGCTAGCAGTCACATTACAATGGAAAACAAGCATGCCTTCCACCTCCCTGTCCTGACACTGAGAACCTGCCCCATATTATAGCACCAATATATATATATTTAACCTCACAAGCAGGAATGAATGACAAGGAAAATGGGCAAGAAAAGTAATCATGCAATGATCTGGGACTGTGTGGCAAATGGACTCATATGGAAGAGCAACAAGAGGGAGATTTCAACAGGGGAATTCCATTTTTGGCAGCTTTATTTTGGCTGGGATAACAGGGGACCTCAGCTTTAGGGAACCGAAGTGGCAAAACTGACTGAAAGACCCTGACACTCCTAATTTTTAAGGCAATTTCATGAGCAGAAAGGGCCTTTCATAAAGATGTTTGCTACCCATGTGCGAGGTTGAGAATTAGAAACAGCAAAGGTGTGGTTGTCTAAGCATCTCATAGGCTTCCTAGCAAGAGACCAAAAAAAAAAAAAAGAGGATTAAAGGAATGGAGACTCTGGACTTAGGAGTTATGATACCACAGAGGCTTACTAGTAACGGTCGTGGCTGGGCCCTTAATCTGCCAAGGGCACAAAGAGGATTCCTACAAATACACCTACCTTTCAAACTTGGCCAAAACATCTGCTACAATCACCCGGCTCTCAATGGCCTTGTCAACATGCTTGTTGCGCTCAAAGAGGGCAAACATGTTCCGGCTGTCCTCCATGGCTAACCCGCGAATCAGCTTCTCTACCACCTGCAAGCAGGATAGAGAAGGAGAGGAAGAAGGATCCGATCAGTCACATACCACTGTGCTGTAAGAAGGAACTCCAGCTGGCTTGCAAACAGCAAACCAGACAAGAAAGCGGAGATCAGTTTCCTAATAATGTATATGCTGGGAAGGAGACAGAGATTGAGAGAGACAGTAAGAGGGCACCTTTCCATTTCCTGCCCTGACACTTGCATCGTTAAGCGAGGCACCACTGTAATGTATATGCTGGGAAGGAGATGGAGATTGAGAGAGACAGTAAGAGGGCGCCTTTCCATTTCCTGCCCTGACACTTTTAGAGGTCATGAAAAGTAAGCTAAATACCTCCTATTTCTTTTTTCTGGGTAACACAGTCAAGGCCAAAAATGCTCCTAGGCCGCCTGGCCTTGTTCTTACCTCTCCTGCACTGGTGTGGGAGTTGATAGTGATTTGGCAGGAGCCCCCGCCATGGCAGTAGACAGTGGTGGTCATCTCCTCCCGGGTGATGAGGGCCTGGATCTCTTCCTGGGAAGGGACAAACTCCCGGCTCTTGGTTCTCTTCAGCGAGTCAGTGATGAATTGAGCATACTGGTCTATTTCAGTGCTCACAAAGAGATCTTTCACTCTGGTTAAGGGAGTGGGGGAAAGTGGGGAAGAAATTATTATCCTTCTGTATGCTGCAAAAACAAAACTGTGTTCCAGAACTCTGTGTCCTCTGAGGAAGGCAGGAGATAATTCATTGGGCTGTAACAGCTGGAGAGTAATTTATTTTAAATGCTGATTTGAACCTCTGTCAGAAGATAGATAGCATTTTCTGGTGCCACAAACATTTAGAGCTTCAATCTAATACGTCAAGAGAAAACAGGCCTGGAGGTGCAGAAGTGGACGACAGGAGGGAGAGTCTATTGAAAGTAGTATGGTCTAATAGATAGAGCAGTGGTACCCAAACTTGGGTTGTAACAGCTGGAGAGTAATTTATTTTAAATGCTGATTTGAACCTCTGTCAGAAGATAGATAGCATTTTCTGGTGCCACAAACATTTAGAGCTTCAATCTAATACGTCAAGAGAAAACAGGCCTGGAGGTGCAGAAGTGGACGACAGGAGGGAGAGTCTATTGAAAATAGTATGGTCTAATAGACAGAGCAGTGATACCCAATCTTGGGTTCCTCAGATCTTCCTGAACTGCAACTCCCAGAAAGTCTTGCCAGCATAGCTAGTGGTGAAAGCTTCTGGGAACTGCAGTCCAGGAACATCTGGGGACCCAAGGTTGGGAATCGATGGGTTAGAGACTTGGACTGGGACATGGAAGATTTATATTTCAGTTATCACTAAGCCATGAAATTCACCAAGGCCACTCTGGGCGGTTCATAACAGGCAATAAGAAAATAGCCAACAACAATAAATTAAAAATAAAATAACATCAATGTGATATAAAAATAAATAAACATACACTGATCATTATAAATGAGAAACATGGTATACTTAAGGTAAGTCAACATCAATGTTATAGCAGACTAAAACAGAAGTTTTCTCAGTATGCTAAGAGTTCTGAATTTGTTTTAAACCAATAATATTTCTCTAGAAGGGCTCTTGCCTTCGGAGGTGGAACTTGAGGTAACGGAGGATCCCCCGGCTGGGCAGAAAGGTGCAGCTCATGCAGGCCATCAGTTGCCAGTGGTGCAGGTTTCCGGGGCTGTTGGGTTGAGGCACATGGTTGGTCTGCTTGATCAGCTGGCAGTAGACCTCATCACACAGGGGCTTGAGGTCATGGCAGGTCTGCAGAATGCCCTGAATGATGGGGATGGGGTCAGACACGGTCTCGATCTCCTGAAGGGAATTAAAGATCTTCATGGCTTCATCCTGGAGGCTGCTGTAGCCCTTCTCTTGCTGCACTGCAGGGGGAAAGAGAGCACAGGGAAAAGGACTCCTCAAGTATCTCCTCAAGTACCTGACTGGCCATTCTGTAGGTCAGGCCTTCAGGACGGAAGCTAGCAGCCCAAGAGCTGGAACTCAGCAACCCGTAGACCTACTGGGGCACCCACATCCTTGGGCAGAATCAACTTGATCCTATCAAAGAGTGGCCCATCCTTCAGGGAATGAGGCAACACAACATTCTTCAATACCTAAAGATGTTCCAGATGACTTGGAGCAACACCCTCCACCAGGTGTTATAACATCTGCCTCCGGTCCGATAGTTGAGAGAAGCTGCTTTTAGGAACTACCAGAATCTCCTAGGCAGCATGGCCCAGGGCGAGGGAATCCTGAAAGTTTTAGTCCCGACAGTAAGATTTCAAAGCTCGCTCTGACATTATGCAACAAAGTGCAACACCCCGCCACCACTGGTAAACTCCAGGGATCAGGAACAGCCATGCATAAAAATAACCTGTTTGCCTTTGAAATATTTCTGCTAGTAACTCAGAGGAAGAAAGGAAACATCTTCACCACTTTATTAAAGGTAACTCTAGGCCACTTTCAGTCCAACTCTCCCCACAGGATGTGGCTGGACAACCGCTCACTCTATCCAGCAAGGGTACCTGCTTCCTTCCACTTCTATTTAATCCTCTATTGTTCTGTGTACTGTGAACTCCTGGTTTGAGGGGAGGCGGATCACACTGCCCTTGTAGGGGAATGCCTGAGGCACCCCACCTCCCCAGTCAGATCATGGGCCAGCCTTTCTCTTACCACTTTATTTGGGACTTTTAAAGCTATCTGTAGTGGCTTCAGAAGC